ATAGCACTGGCAATTATAAAACAAGGAAAATACAATACAACCTCTAATATATTGTTTTTATAGCTATGACCGACATTATTTATTACTTTGCTACTTTCATTTAATAAAATATATTTCCCGCAGCTCCCAAGTCGCACGGAAGAACCCAATTAAAGCAATTAGGAGAACAATTAATTATAACATAACACATAATTATAGATCTAAGTACTGTAAAGAACGCCGATGTCGGCCAACCTTTTCCTTTTCCTCCTTAATGCTCGAGTGCCATAAATCCAGAAACTGCTTAGCTTTAGAATTTCTTATTTGTTTGTTTATTTTCTGGGTGGTTTAGGATCTCGTAATTACTTTCGGTTTGAAACGAACGAGCTGCGTTATCGAATTCACCAGGAACGTTTATTAGTCGAATGCCCAATCAACGGGCCATTAAAATTAACCGAAACCTTTGATTTCCTCAGGAAGACTGCTAAATCAAGTTACATTCCTTGGAATTAATTTGAAGGAGTTATAGTAAATTTCGGTGAAGGTTTTCGAGTTTGTAAAACATTTACCACATGCTGGTTAATTGAGTGCAATTATCGTATCAGTATATCATCCCCAAGTATATCATCCCCAATCAGGAATTAAATTATATTAATCCTTAAATATGATTTGAAGTAAAAATTTAATAGTCTATACATTTAAAAGTTCATTTCGTTATAAAGTAAAAATGTTATCAAGCAATTAAGTAATTTATGACTAAATTTTAAGAATTGTGCTAGCCTTACAATAATGTTATTTATATGATGACTCTAGTCAAAAGTGTAATTTTTTCAGAATTTTCATGAAAGTCAAGTAAAATTTTTAAAAATTATATAATGATAATTGAAATTGAAGCATATTAATATTAATTTGAACTAGGTTGATCTCGATATGGTTTTGTTCATTTCTTGCAAACACACGTAATATAAATGGTTTGTACGATAAGGTCGTTTTGTTATAAAATATGAATGATAAAATTTGAAGTAGTTACAAAATTAGTGTACTGAAAGTTTCTGCAAATTGCACTTAGCAATGCATTACTAGTTTAACAACATTGTTTATAAAGTATATTATAACTAATTTTTATTTTTAATATTGCAAAAATAGCTGGGATTTTCAAATTAACTTATACTTTTATAAAAACAAATACTTTAAATAGGTTGCAGTAAAATTAGGCATAACAAAAAAAGTAATAGTACTATGTTTCTCTATATTAATAATCTTGAATTAATAACTTTCTGGATTTGAATCCTAAATAAGTTTTCTTTTGTATAATTTAAAATAGATAGTATCATTTTAGTGCATTTCAGAATTTAATTGGCATAGGTAGGGTACTTTTTAACGAGAAAATTTATTATAATTCAAATGTGAGCATCAAAATACAGAGAAAAAGTAATATTTTATTATAAAAATGTAACTTGATAAATCAAACCATGTAAAATATTTCTAAAAATCTTCTAGAATAGTACAACTATCACTAAATTACTGTACAACCAATAGAAGTTTTTGTGGTAGGAGAATAAAAACTTTGGACTTTTTGTGTTTTTGAATTACGCATTTTAGGAAATTATCAGCTAAAAATTAGTCAATAAAATAAATAAAAAATCGTAAGGATGGCAAACTCTTACCACAGGAGTATTAAAAATAGAGTCCGGTTCATGCTAAAAGTGATTATAAAATTTTATATATATAATATATATATATATATATATATATATATATGTATATATATATAATCTGATATATAAGAATCCAAATATAATAAAAAACAAAAAAGTTTTTTTAAAAAACCATTTCTTGATTTATTTACTGTCGACGTTTCGAAACTAGGTACTTTACATCTTCAGAACATCTGCCAAGAAAAATGACCTTGATAAGTTTTAAACAAACAACATATTTAAGAAAAGTAGAAAATGATAGATTTTTTGAATAAAATGAATAAAATCGTGGAAAAAAATAACATTACAGAAATATGACACTATCAAATCACTTTCAAAATGAAAGTAATAAAAATAAATGAGTGGATTATATAACAAAATATTAGAAATGTTAGAAAATTAGAATGTTTTTGAAAAAGGATTAAGAGAAAACAGAATTGATTGATTATACACTAACACTTTTTTACTAAAAACAATTTTATCAAAAAAATGTGATTTTACAAATTTCTTCTCAGACGAAGAAATAAATTTTGTAATTAAAATATTTTTAAGTTAATTCTTTTTGAGTTTGTTATGTGACTCACATGAGTTAAGTTATAATTCAAAATCCATTTTTTTTTTTAAATATTTCTAGTTAAAAGAACGCAGGTGTTGAGCAAGAACTAGATATCCTTTATCTGCAAATTAACTTATTTTATTTTCAATAATGATTTCTTTAGTTTAACAAATGTGGTGTGATTTAAGTACAAAATTGATTACCTCCTTATTTATTATTTATGTACTAAATTAATTATCGGATAATTAATGGAACTGAACCCAGACATTGAGAAAATGAGAATTCCTGAAATCTAATGAACAATTTAATAAATGTCATCACGCGAACCAGAAGTGTTTTAATGATGATTAGAACGCGAGTTCTAACGTTTTTAATTTTGTATGATGTTATGATAATAAAATATCAAAACAAACTCAGCTTTGAAGGAAACTCGGTCATTGCCAATAACATCGAAAACTTTAGATAAACATGTTTTACTTCTTACGATGTAAATGTGATATACGATTTACCATATACATATAAATCATCATCAAAATCTTGTATTTTTATTGCTATCTATAAAATTTGGAATTCAGATCTTTTCATGTAAGACATATAAGATAGGGATGTCTGGACTTTGTTGCAAATTGAATATATTACATTTAAAACTTATAACAGAACTATATCAGTAAAGAATATTGATTTGTTTTAGTTTGGTGTTAAAAGTGATCCATTGTTAAGACTGCAGTCGCCAAGATAATGATTACTATTGGAAAAGTTTTGTAAGATCAATGGGTGAAAAAATCATGTAGGAAAGACAACGACTTACATTGTTTACTTGAATGCACTGAACAAATTTAAGAAATTTTATTATCAATTAATTATTAATTTAATAATTTTGGAATTTGTTATATTGGTCTTCATCTTCCTTGATTTATGAGAGTCCTACTTATGCGAGTTTTCTGGCGTGACCTAACCTAATAATTATCCTTTTATATCATTAATTACTACACTTAAAACTGAATCATTATCTTCATTAACACTTAATTTTATTGAAATCTTTCAGAGCACGAATAGCTTGTTCATTGGATGATTTCGGATTAAGTAGAGGTGATCAAGGTGAAAATAGATTCAAGGAAGCAGCTCTAGGTCCTGCTCTTCTTCTACCGCTCAGGTAAGATTATTTAACGAATAGAATTATTTAACGAATAGAATTATTCAATCGAATAGAATTATTAAACTGAATTATATAATTTCAACTGCCAAACATTTAAGGTTGACTATATCTTATATTATTTTAATTTCTGGCATGTCTCAGCTGCTTTTCAGCAATAATAATGTAGACATTACATTTTTCTTGTATATTATATTATAATATCATCTAGGCTTTTAATTTCAGCTAAATTCAAATTTCAAGTGAATTAACATTTCTAGCAGATGACAGTTCAAATGCTTAACTAACTTTAAAAAAAAATCAGAATACGAAAAACGGTTTAGGAGAAGTATCAAATCATACACCCGTACAGAAGAATTTTATATATATAAGATTAGGGTGGTCCTTAATATGAATATTTTCAAATTTCATTGTTCCCAAAGGTTCAAATGCTTCCAAATTGATAAAAAAATACTCTGAAAGTTTTAGCTCGATATTAACTCTAAGGTAGTTTGTACTCCAATCACAGTTTCTTGGTTCTTCTTCCTAAGCAAATACTTGCTTTATAAAAAATATCAAAATTTTGTTGTGATTTTTTATTAATGATCAAGATAAGCAAATACAATGTTATTCCTAAAATTTTGATTCACTTGTCGCTAAGTTATAAAATTCTAAAAGACAAATTTATTTTTACCGATGTTATTTCCATAAGAAACTTTGGTTGGAGTTCTGACTATCATAAAATTAATAATAATATATTATCATATTTGATAGGATGTTTTTTATCATTTTGGATGCAATTGTGGAAGTAGAAAAATTCTAAAATATCCATATTTAAGACCGTCCTGAATTACATATAAATATTGAATTGGGTTTGTGTAGCTTGGATGTTGATTGAGTAAACCACAATTTTTATATATGCGGAGAGATTTAAAAAAAACGCAAATACTGCAAAATTAGTCTTTTAAGAAATGTATTCTTATTTATGTTGGTTTAAATTTTATCTCTCAAATATTCAATTCCAATTAAATGTGCGTCAGTAAAACGTGGAAGGGATCATAATGTTCCCTGGTTCATGGTTCATTTGATTAATTTAAATTGGCAAGCAGATAAAAGTATTGCCATTTTGGTTAAAAAATTGTACTATACAGATCTATTGAAATTGGAATACAAAGGTAAAATATCTATTGCTTAATATCTTTAATCAATTCAATTACTGAAATGGCTTAAAATAATTAAGCAGTTACATTAAACCCTTTGCAATTGACATTTAAATAGTGTGTCATCAAAATCTAATTAAAAACTTCTATCAGAGGAAGCATGAAGGGCGTATTCTCAATCTTTTTTATCGGTAATGTAAATATTCATCAATTGAAGAACTTGCAAAGCCGTTTTGTTCGCTTAATTAAAAGTTTTACAAGCAATGTACTAAATCCAATGCACTGATGGAACTATTATAACTTACTCGTGGAACTGAAGTATGTATTTAAAGTTATCGTCGAATTCAATGTTGAGATTTTTAGTCATACAAAAACATTAATTCTGCTTTGTTTAACACTATGATAACAGTAATGGATAATTGAACCAAAACATCAAGGGATAAAGTAATTTTTTTGTGGGAATTATTTCTATCGTTATGGTATCAAGAAAGTTTGAGAAAATGACAAAGATGTAAATAATGTGCGAGAGGCAATCAATATTTTTTGTAAAATTTTCAATTAACATATTTTTTAATTAATTTTTAGATAAAGATAAAAAAAATAAAATCGTTTTTTCAAAAATCATTTTTAGTAAAGTTGAGCGATTTACATGATGTCTATGTTTTGGTAGTAGGTAGTTGTTTTGTAGCATAATAGCAAATGTGAATAAAAGTAATGATACAAATCTAAATGTGTAAAATGAGATAAACTTATTAATTAAACGTATCACACCTTTGGATAAAGATGCTACTAAACAAAAAATAAAATCTCTAAGAATCTCTTAAAGTAATATGCAAAAATAATTTTTTTTTTTTCATATTTTATTTTTACTGAGTGTTCATTTGTTGTGCCAAAGTTTCATTGTAATTTCTACCAAGTTATGATTTTATCAACACTTTCAATTATATTTTAATTGAACTAATAATATTTAGTCAGAAAAACATGATGCAACACTTGAAAGTATCAAGACGTCTAAGAAATTTTCTCCATGTTAGCAAAATTAATTATGAGACTACAATTTAATTAAGTGCTAGCAAAAATGAAGTAACTCTGATATTTAGAATTCTTGAGTCTGGAAATTATTAAGTACACGAAGATAATTTATAGTTACTACTAAACCAATTTAGCTATCAACTGTAAGTAAATAGTTATTTGCAAAACTACGTCAAAAAATTTAAAAAAGGTACAAAGGCTACAAAGATCCAATTTGATTTTTGGCAGCCATACTGTAAAAACCAAATGAACTATATAAAATCAAATAACTCATATAAAACAACCAGAAATTTAATTATGTTCAGAACAATTCCCGACTAATACATCATTGTAAAACTATATTTTACACTATTTTTCAAAAATGTCGCCTGGTTTTTTTACCTTATAAGGGGGAGGGGGGTTAATGGGATAGCAAGAGGGCAAACAGATTCAATTCATCACACTGTAAAACTTTAGTCTGGTGCTTCATCCAAAATATTCATCAGCAGAGTTAGATTAAATATTATCTTAGTTTATCTCTTGTAAAATTGCTTTTTTTCAATTAAATTTACTTTTTCTTTCACTATTTTTCATTGATTACACTTTCGCCAGGGTAAAGGTTCAGGTGGTCCTTGTTATCCCACCCATATTGTGAATGTCTAAAATGCATTCCAATTTGCAGATCGAGGTTGAGACTGGTATTCAAATTTATAATTTTTTTTTATAGATTTTTAGGAAGGCGTCCACGTCGTGGAGAATTATCAGCAAATGCTGTCGCCACAGAACAAAAAGCAACAAAGGTCTTAGGCGTAGTCTTCTTCGCCTTCGTCTTCTTGTGGACACCATTCTTCGTCCTCAACATCGTCTTTGCGGCTTGCCCGAATTGTAACGTTCCCGAACGGGTTGCCGACGCCTGCCTATGGCTAGGATACGTCAGTTCTTGTGTAAATCCTTTGATTTACACAATTTTCAATGGAGCTTTTAGAGAAGCATTTTGGAGACTTTTGAAATGCGATTGCAGTAAAAATGAAGGCAGACGAAGACTGTATAGGGGTACTAACAGCGACAGCAGAATTTGATGACTAAAATGTATTAAACGACGTACAGAAAACAAAGTTGGTGATTATGGTTTTTAGTAGAAAATATACTATTTCTAAGGATTAATCCATAATCAACACATATGGTAAGACATGCTGCTTTATGAAACCTGGCTGTTCAGGGTTGTAGATAAATTTGTTAGACATTGTATGGTCTATTCCAAATATTTTCATCTAGAGCATTTATCTTCACACAGAACATAAATAAATATGTTGTTTTGTTAAAATGTTTGATGTCCACTACCACCATTGGAGCTTATCATTGATACACAACAGATTGCCAGAATAATGAGTAAAATTAAAATTCCATATACTGATATCAAAATCTAAATTTACAATAGCTATAACATTTGCAAATGCAAATATAAGCTTGCTATAAAATTTTATTCACTATTGGAATCAGAAATTTCCATTTTTCAAGCAATGATAGGCAATGTTTTATATGTCATTTACAATAAATCATTTAAAATTAATTTTACAGTATTAAATGGTAAATCATATACCAAACAGATGGTACCTGTTCGAAATGACAACATAACTCATAAATTTTCATAATACATAAATTCAAATGATCCGATTATATAACTAGATTATTAGTATCAATTTTGAGTAATGAACCTTTTTAATTGTTATGATATAATTGTACATTTTTAGCGAAAAGAATTAATTGACCTATTTTCATATGAAAAATGGTTATAATTATATTTCAGAAATGAGTTCTGAAATTATCTACAAAAGACTTGACGCCTAAATTTGTATATGTTTGTAAATTTAAAAAGCTATATATCAATCAAGCGTCTCTCAATCGTAGTATTAATTCGGTATAAATAAATTTATATCAATAATAAAAAATCAAATAAAGGAATAATGCATTTCGCTAATAATTTGTTTTATACTTTGCCGGTATTATATCCTAAGAATCTATTCTTCAAAATGTGTTTATTCTATTTCATGATATTATTAGAACATTATTGATGTTTATGAATAAATCGTAGACCGTAGCACCTAGTCAATTTATTTCACTGATAATTTTGTAATTAAATAGTAATCGGACCAGTATTCATTACATGTAATGTATACATTTGTAAGTAGTAGCTTTTAAGTGCATGTTATGTAACATATAAATTAAATATATTTTTGGCCTGGTGCCATACCGTAATTCCGTGATATAATCAAGATATCAGTGTAAATGTATAAAGAAATAAATCATATATGTTAAAGATTAAAAAAGTTGTTTGAATTTTTTTTAGTACATTGTTAGACGAAGTTACTATTAACTCAAAAATTATGAGAGATAAATAATAAAATCTTAATGTACATATGTAAGATCAAGAACTAATTGAGTGCGGCTTTCTTTTAGATAAATTCAATACTCAATAATAGATTTGCTGAAGCAGTTCAAATTTCATTCAATTTTGTTTCTGGATAGTAGGCAGTTTAGTTCAAAATCTATAAAAAATTTTTTTTTGATCCCTTGTGTAGTTTTTGTTTAGCGTTCGTTGAAAGATGAAAAATTAAATTAAATTTAATCGAAAATGTTTGCCACCTTGTGCTTTTTAATTTCTGCAAATTTGAAAAGGCATTTTCAGCTCAAAAGCTATGCCTTGCTTAGTGTGACAAAGTCCTAAAAAATGGCAGTGTCAATTGGATTGCCAAAGATGAAAAATGCTCTGGTTGTCTAGTTGAAGTTGACGAAAAAACTGAATTGACTACTTTGATCTATTATCACCAAGAGAATGATCAACTCTGATGTCTACGCTAAACAACTAACAAATTTAAGTAATACAGTTGAATAAAATCAGCCTGAATTGGCAATTGGAAAAGTGACTTATACTATTATTGACATCATATTATTTCGGTCACTTGGCAAAAATATTAGAGCCTGGTTGGCATGTTTTTTTACATCCACCATAAAGCTCTGATCTAAAACCATCAGATTACTTCTAGTTTTGATCTTCACAAAAATCCATAAATTTAAAAAATATATTTTGCTAACAAAAACCAAAATTTCAGACCAGAAGTGGGATAATGATGCTGCCTAAAAGATGAAAGTGACCAAATTAGACAACGCATCTTAGAACAAATTTATGTAGTTCTATGAAAAGAAGAATGTCTTCGATTTTGTAACAAAAATCTGCACTTACTCATTTACCAACTTGATATTTTTATTGAACGAAATTTTTTAAAAACATTTTCAAACATCAGTTAAACGTAGATTTGTGGAGAGCATTCCTATAAATAATTAAGTAGCTTTAGTTAAATTTCAATACTTTGTAATTCTACGATAATTTCATTAGACAACGATATTTTTTGTACACTTTCAAGTTTTTGTAAATTTTTAATAAAATATTATATAGGACCAATTGTTTCACCAAGTGATTTCAACAATGATTTCGCTTTTTTTTACAAAAATACATATTTTTATAAAGCTTCTGTTTTATCGAACACCTATTGAAAGATTAATAAATTTGAACCGTTTTGTATATAAATATTACCGATAATACATCAAAAAGTGAACATTTTACACTCGCCGTACGATGACTTATGTGTATGTTGGGATATAAATAGTAAACTGACAGCAATATAAACAGTTTTCTATAAATATAGATCGAAGACGTGTTGACACACACCTTTGAAGATGAACGTTTTATTTTTAAAAGATTTTATAATAAATATCGCATTTTCCAGTAATTGATTCGGTAAAGCTCTAGCTAAGATAATAATAACAGTAGAATTGTTTGGAAACAGAATATTGGTATTTAATATAATGAGCATTATTGGAGTTCTTGGACTTGTAGGTCAATAACATCTGCTTTATAATTAATTTAGGCACAATTATTTAAAATGATGTTAGTTAAAATTTTAATTATAATATCGGACAATATGTTTTGTTTACGTATAAGATAATAGTCAAATCCAGTACCAGTCCTAATTTTATATTTTCTATGATATCATATTAAATAATTTTGATTAAATTAATTATATAACAAAAAATAGTATTGAAATTATAAATCCAAAAACTTTGATATATATATATATATATATATATATATATATATATAAATATATATCATATTTCATTGTTATTAAGAAAATATATATGGCTCATATTCTCAATTGTCCATTCTCACGCAGGCATATTTCAAAACAATTTGTTGAATGAATATTGAATATTGATCTTGTACTTTTAATGTGGTATAATATTAAAAATATTAATACCTGATGTATCACAAGAAATTGAATTCCTGAATAATTTTGCAATTTCAATAAAAATCAATTTTTATGTTTGTAGTTGAACAGATGGATATACTAATGCGATAAAATAATGACAGTATAGTGTATTAGTGTAGAGAAAGTATAATATAATTTTTACAACTTATTTTATATAATTTCATAATCCCACTTCTGAAACTTGTAATAATAATGCGACATCTGCATTTGATACAAGAGCAAAGTAGCAAACCCAGATTCAAGAGTAAGTTTCAAGATCAAAACAGATGCCGACCTGTTTTTCTATTGAAAAGATTTATATACATTAAAAGTAATATTAATATACATTATATATATATATATATATATATATATATATAAATTTTGATGGCACAAAAATAGAAGATAGAACATAAGTACTGGCTCCAAAAAGTCGAAAATAAATATTTATTTATAAGGAAAAACTCTCTATTTAGATATGTTGTTAGATGGTTGTTAGAAACACAGATTTAAAACATCAAAGAACTTCCCTAAGCACAATTATTAAAAGAAAAGGAAACTGGATCGGACCCATTCTGCAAAAAAATCCTCTTAAAAATGTTTTTGAAGGTAAAATTGAAAGAATAAAAAAACTGGAAACGAAGAAGAGGAAAGCAGAAGATTTATGAACCAGACGAAAAGAAAAAATACAGGAAACTGAAAGAAATAGTACCAGGAAGCACGGAAGCTTTAACAGAAAAATGCCTTAACATGTATAAAAAAGTTAATGGTAATTCAGAAATAGTAATGGGAATAATAAACAAGGGTGGGAAAGGAAATCATTGATATTAGGTGCTCTTACACTATGCACCTGACTTCGGGCAGACTACCATTTATATATATATATATATATATATATATATATATATATGCTCTTAATCTCTGTTACATACATACGTTTGTAATTTTTCTGGGAAAAATTCTACTGTAATACAGATGGATGAGATTGGATTCATATGAATAGTCATGAGGTAGAATAGCTTCAGATGTAAAGACGCTCATTCATCATTATTTATATCTATTTGAACTGTAGGTACTTTGAGAGAAATACACATCTTTCAAAGTAAATGCTTTATACACTTATATATATACATGTTCACAAGCTTGTATATATATACATATATATATATATATATATATATATATATTATATTATATTTATTTATATTTTGGGGAAAAAATATGTTAAAAGGTAATTTGGAATGATGGTATTTATTTGCAACGTTTTGGAACTAGACTACTAGATGATAAAAAATTCACTATTAAAGTATAACTGTACTATCATTAATGTCCAAAACGTAGCAAGTATATAGCATCTGGAACTACGTTTGTTTTCTTAATTTAACCGACTGTTTAGAAAACAAACATAAATTATTTAATTTTTGCTTATTTTTGAGAAAATTGACATGTTGCTAAGTAATATAGTGTCTCATGTACTATAAGTTACATGTGCCATATGTACTCTAAATACAAAAATTCCCTATCTCCCCTACGCAAATGATTTTATGTATAAAAGATACATTTGATCTCAACTACATACTTTTATATAAAGATTATGTTTCATTAAATTTGACATATATATATATATATATATATATATTTATTTATATGTATACAAATATATTAAATATAATATGCATAGATTTGTTCTGTATTTTTCTCTGACAATTTTATTAACGATTTTTCCTTAGTCCCAATGATATTTCTAATTTACAGTTTTTTTGTAAATATATTGTAAACTGCAAATAAAATT